TTACTACCGATTCTTGTTTATCTTAATGTGTTTTCTTCTTGTTCTACAAGAGAAAAATAACTTTCATTTTGTTCTCGATCATCTTGCATTCCCTCTCTCTCTCGCTCGCTCGCTCGCTCGCTCGCTCGCTGTCCTTCTTTCTTGTTCATTCCAAACACCATTCACTATACATTAAAAATGTATATTCGTGCATACACGAACATACATCTTATATACTTTAATACGTGCTATAGAGTTAGCGGTACACTAAGTTCACTTTCTCCCAATCCGTTTCTTTTTTTTCTCTTTCTTTCTGTTTTGTTTATATTTAATGTGTTTTCTCTTGAGTTATTTTGTTTAGTAGTGACTGAGTGAATGAGTGAATGAATGAGTTTTCTTATCCCATTCTCTATTGAATTTAATTATAAAGCAATGAAGCGTATGGGAGTGTTTTTGACAGAATTGAAAAGAGAAAACAAAAACTGAGCAGAAACAATCAAAACATTAATAATAATGACTCGAAATCGATTTCCCACCCCCCATTTTACTTGAATTAATTATTCATTTACTTATATGCGTCTATTTATATTGGAATGTATTCATAGAATATATAATAATAATAATAATAATAATAATAATAATAAATAGACGTGAATGAGCCCGGGGGGGGGGTATATGAAGTGAATTACAGTTATAATAAGTGCTTAGAAGTAAACTAAGAGAATATGAGATACAATTCGGAGTTCAGTAAGAGTGAAGTTGAAAGTTAACTCAAAGAATGATTTCACTTATTTTGAAAGTTCCATTATTGTTATTATTATTATTATTATTATTTAATTTGGAAAATGCTTGACAATAGCTGACTTATACTACTTATACTACTATTACTACTTTAAATACTACTCATGATGTATAAAAAGAAGTACTACTTGATTAATTAATGATTTGAGCTATTTGTATATATACAATGTTTAATGTATACAGTTAGGTAGGGTAAACATGGAAAACACAAACAAAACACCTATTTTGTTTGCCTTAGGCAATAATTCATAATGATAAATATTTTATCTACTTTCTTACGATTCACGTTTGTCATCTTTCAAACAATAAAATACTTGAAGAAAGAAGTGAAGAGAAAAAAATCTATGATGAATTTCTCGGAAAAAAATTACTTCATGGGATAATTTTGGTCAACCTAAAGTATACTACTGAATGATCTTGACCGCTTAGATTATTTTAGCCAATTTGAAGTTAAGAAAGATAAACGAAGGATTTCTAGTATAGGGGTTGTGGAGATTATTAAATTTTTGATTGAGATCATGAACCAATTGACGTTAGGCCACCATTAAAAACCTGGAGGCATTGGACGGCCGTTTCGTCCTGCTGTGGGACTCCTCGGCAGTGCGCATCCACAATCCCGCTCGCGGGATTCGAACCCAGAGCCTTCAGTCTCGCGCGCGAATGTTTAACCTACTGGACTACTGAGCCGGCACACAATGGTATTAACGTCTATAATGATAATCATTATGAGTTCATTTTAAAGAAAGTAAATGAAAGGAAACACTTTGTGAAAGATCCCGCGAGCGGGATCGTGGATGCGCACTGCTGAGGAGTCCCACAATAGGACGAAACGGCCGTCCAGTGCTTCCAGGTTTTCAATTGTGGTGGTTTAACATCAATCGGTTCATGATCTCAATCAAAAACGAAGGATTTGTTATTGCTAGGACTTGGGATTAGTATAAAGATTTTAAAATTATTGCACAATGGTTGATGTTAGTGTATAATAAGAATCCTGACATTTATTTCTAATTGTAATTTTTAACTTTATTTTGATATTTACACTATGACTGTGAAGTCGACTACTTTATTTTGGTTGGTTCGGGAATATAATTTAGGTTAACCGTTTTTTGAATAAATGATTGTAGATTTTTTCATCAGTAGTAGTAGTAATAGTTATAGTAACAGAAGGAGTAAGTGAATGGATAAACCTATTGGTGAGGTTAAAAACTAGGATTGTTGTTAAAATATAACCACAATTTATGAAGTCTTTATGTTTTTGATGGAGTTTTATTCTCTGAGCTGAATGGTTTGGTCATGGGTCTTTCATAGTTCTTCTGAACAACATCATCAGCAGCACAAACTTCAGATAGATATGAAGAGTTCAAATTTCTCCACATATGGTTCACAGCTTGTGCTGTACACCTCGATGTTGATTGATTCTTGTTGACCTTAAACCTGTCATTGTTTACTCATTTGTTTTGGTTGTGTCTCTCATTGGTTTGATTTTTGTCCCTATTTTTGTGCATAATTTTCAGAGAACAAAACTCCACCGAAATCATCCACCTTTTTTATTTTCAAAATAAATAAAACAGCATACAATGATTGATTCCATCCTAGTTAGTTTCTCTTTTAACAGACCGATCTATAGAAATTATGTAATGCTAATCACTTCGTATATAGTAAGATTAAGCTACTTTTTAACTAATGTATACTATATCTACGTATATACCAAGGGAATTGTTGTTTCTTTCCGTCATTTATCTCCACGACCAAACCATCTAACTCAGAGAACAAAACTCCATCGAAATCATCCACCTGAGATACACAGGATGTGAATTTCCTGGAGTTCTAGTAAAAAACCATGACCAATGATGTTCATTCCGTGTCGGGTGTGAGACATTTATTGAATTCAGACAAGGGATGAAAGGTTGCGCAAGATCATGGATCGATCGAGGTTGCACATCAACACGGATATTGGCTCAGTGGTTTATAGGTTAAGCATCTGTGCGCCAGACTGAACGTCCTGGGTTCGAGGTCCATGAGCGGCGTCGTAGATGCGCACCGCTAAGGAATTCCATTCTAAGACGAAACGGCCGTTGATACTTCTAGGTTTAGATAGATTCGTGACTTCAATTGTGAAAATACTACAATCTCCACAAATCCACATACTGTAAAGAATATTGCATTGGTATATTTTCTTTAATTTGAGTTTATAGCTATTCGACTCTTATCAGTTTGGAGTACAACTAGCGACTATTTTGTGTTCTGTTATTCGAAACAATTTCATTATCTTTTTAGACAAAACAGTAATTCAGTTGATAGTATAATCATTTATTATTCTCAGTTCTTCGTTAAAGCTGTAAATGGTTATTCATGATTGCTATTGAGAAAATGTAGATTATTTAGCTTTACAAACCGCAATATTAACTAACAGAACATCATCTAAATATGTTTTAGCATTTGAAGTAATAGAATACTAACTTTACTAATATTTCCTTATAATACTACTATTTCCATTATTAATTAATAGTAGTGTTTGGCGATAGTTGACAGACAACACTATACCTGAGTTTCACTCTGGTTAATATTTACTAGTAAGAGACAATTGATGCTCTCTTCAATGTCTATATTTAGGTCTAGGGTTTCCTGTTGACTAATGCTAACACCCTTGCATCCCAACATGATGAATGTGGTATCGAGTCACTTAAACGAATACCCACATTGTAACTTGACCAATAATATTTTATTAACAAAATCTGGAGGAGGGAAGCAAACATACGTTTGGTAACTATACACCGATCGATGCAAATAAGTAGTAATTGTAGTCTGGTGAACGAGAATTCAGGTTCAGGAAACCAACTTATTCGTTGACTCAAAATTACAGGGTGCCTTCATCAAATAGGAAAACCATACATTAAATACATTATGTGCACACCTTCCTTCAACTGTATTTTATTTATTTCAGTTCTGTTGTTATTACAGTTGCTCTTTGTTTCCTTCAATTCGATCTCTCTGAATCTTCTATTGGCAGGTATTCTTCTTTCGATTAGTAAATCACACTACTTATAACTGTCAACATAAGTAGTATACACCACGGTAGTTGTAGTAGTAGTATTCAAATTTGACAATTAAATATTCTAAACTATTTGTCTTAATTTCAATACATAAAGCAAATATGTTAATAGTGTATCCTTTACCAATATATTGGATTATAATTACTAACCGTTCGATTACTTTATTCAGTAGATGAAATTTATTTATAACTAATATACCAATAAAATGTTTCATCTACATTTCCTGTACACATTTTTTGTCAATGGTATAGTGTATACAAATTGCTGATCGTTGTTTTCGGTCGATATTATCATTGCTACTAGGCTACCATCCTTTATTATTATTATTATTGTCATTCTAGATTCCTTCCATTGTTTGTCATTCCTCCTTTAATCTTTACTTTTTTTTTCCTACTGTCTCCATTTCTCATTTCTTGTTTTGACAGCGATGTATGTTTACATGTGTATGTGTGTATATATAAATGTACACACACTCAGGAGTAGTCCATATAGTTTCGTATCCACACACACATATATATATATAGGACAATGTACTACATACATGCGCAAACTATGTGTATATATGTAGCAAATACATACACAATACCACACACTACATACATATACCCTATGAACCATTATAAATACCAACAGTATATAAAGCGATTTTTGACAAAATCAGGAAATGAATATTGTTTTAAAACTCGCTTTTCCTAAAGTTCTTTTATTCTAATCATTTTGACAATTGTCATTTTGGAAATTATTATTATTATTTCTAAGCATAAAACTAGAATATCTATATAGACTATATTCTTTCCTATCCAATCTATATGTAGATCTATGTATAAAACATACATATATATGTATGTATATATGGGGACATTTGATAATCAGAGTATGGACAGCAGCATACACGTATTCTCTCTCTGTTTCTTTTTTTTACAATGTTTTTATACATACATCTATTTATGTATGTCCATTGACGTCTGTTCACATAGCCCGACAGTATATATATATATATCTGATTATCATTCGCTTTGATCTTTAATTTGATTAGTTTTTTTTGTGATTTATGGTAATACTCAGAATAATGACAACGATACTATTAACGATAATAACAAAACAATATATGTAATGCTACATTCATACTTCCGCCTGCTTTTTTTTGTCTATCTAAAAACAATTTAGAATTCTTCCCCTTTACTTGGAAGTGTTGGAAGTCGGCGGTCACCGGATGCAGATGATCGGACTAGTCCTAATGGCGGTGGAAATACATGTCACCGTAATGGAGCATCTGGGTGTGGAAACTCTAACAATCGTGGTAGTGGTGGTGGTGGTGGAGGTTGTGATGGAAATGGAGGAGGTGGTGGGGATGGAAGCGGTGGCGGCGGCGGTGGTGGTGGTGGTGACCGTGGACGGTCATCTGACAATTCTGGTGGGGGTGGACGTACTGCTTCTGGTACAACAATTTCCAACACTCAACATATTGCTGATCATAGTTTGGTTCGCCAAACTCATAATCATCATCCGCATTCACTCAATCACATGTCACAAAATTTATCTCAGTCCAATACACCAATGTCTCGTAGTCATGGTAATGCCAGTCAAGATATGAACAGTGAAGCGGGTATGTTGAAATGTTATTTATCTGATTGTATGTTTTGTACATTTCTTTTTTTAAATAAAATAAAAGTAACATTTACTGCGTTCTTCCTCATGTATATAATAACGTCCAATAAATAGATAAATACTTAACTTGCAGAGATATTTTACTTTTATTAGTTCATGGTAATTCTTCTAGGAATACCATTGATTAGTTGTTGTTTGTGAGGTAGTAGTGTAGTGAAGAAGAACACGGGTCGGGACAACCGAATTATATTTAGTACAACACTACAGAGTTACTCGGTAAAATAGAACAACCATACTATAACACTTAATTTGCAAAATGTTCAATAATTACCTCGGACTTCATTGTTCTTGCATTTCTATAGTAATTGCTTTTTATTCCCGTTCTTCCTTTCTTAATCTTCCCAATCTTCTGCTGCCAGACATTACATTCCTGACTCGCGTTATATACTACTTATATAAATAAAAGTAACACGCACCACAGTAGTACTGACAAGTTTATTTCAATAGTACAATTCCATTTATTTTGTAATTTCAAGATTTTAAACACTTATACTAATACGTAGAAGGAGACTATCATTTCTTGAGGTATCTGAAAAAGAAACTGGATTCATAGTGATCTTGTCGACTTGAGGTCATGATTACGGAGTTCATGTGACAACTGTTTGATATTAGTTATATATTGACCTTTTTAATGAGTACTTTATAGCTCATATACCTAGCAACAGAAACTGTTAAGACAAAAGATTTATTTTTAAGATCAATCTATTTTAACTTTCTCCTTATGATTTAAGATTTTAATCCGGTAACTATCATTTTAAATGTCAATATCTTAACTCCTACCAAACTACACAATCCAGATAACTACTAACATGTTCAATGGGTAATATGTGCATTACATTCCACTGTTAGTTTTTTTGTTTTTTTCATCATTCCATCTTTTCTTCTTTTTTTTATAAACATAAACAAACATATAACTTTATAGGTGATGGAATTGATAACTCAATTGGATCGGGGGAAAATTTTGATGAATTCGATTTAGAAGAAAAATCAATAAAACGTCAGAAAAAACGTGGTATTTTCCCTAAAGCTGCTACAAATATTATGCGAGCTTGGCTATTTCAACATCTATCAGTAAGTATGGATACATGTGTGTATGTATGCGTGTGTGTGTGTGTGTGTGTGTGAGTAGATGTGTAATCTAACTATAACATTACTAAACATAATAAGAACTTACTTACGCCGGTTACTCCTCGTGAAGGAGCATAGACCGCTCACCAGCACTCTTCATCCAAACTTGTAATAGGTAATCCTTTCCAGATCTTTCCAGTTGTTACTCATCATTTTCATATCTGATTCTAATGTGTTCTTTGGCCTTCCACATTTCCACTTCCCTTCAGGATTCCAAGTTGAGGCTTGTCTCGTGATGCAGTTTGATGATTTCCATAATGTATGTCCTTATTCATTTCCATCATCTTTTCCTAATAAGAACTTAATCTAAACAAGAATGATAATTATCGGTATGATCAATTTAAGGTTTGACTTGATCTGTTCTGATGAATTGACCATTGAATTAATTCTAAATAAATAAATTTATAATACCTTAATCAATAGAAGGTTAGATGTTTTGATATTCTTTAATGTTGTGTAAGTCATTTCTTTAATAAATTCATATAATGATCCAATTAAAATGAACATAAACAGAATGATTGTAGGTCAATTAGATTTATCATTAATTTCTTTTCAGTATAATGATACGAGTTTAGAAATGGAATGTTATACATAAGTTATGTCATTATGAAGTATAAACAACAATTGATTTTAGATAAATTCAATAAATAAGAATGGAATGAAAAGTGAATCTTCATCGACTAAGATGGTTGGGCCACGGGTTACGTATGCCCGAACACCGATTACCACGACGTGCAATGCTAACCGGTGTTCGGGATGGTTGGAAGAAATTAAAGGACGACCAAACAAAAACGTGGCATCAGTGCTTGAAGACACTAACCTCTAGTCTGAGCCATGTTGGTAGATGCAGACTACTTGCTTGGGGTCCGAGTGACTATCGTAACCATTGGTTGGAGACCGTGTGTGACATGGCTCAGAACCAATCACAATGGCGTTGGTGTATACACTCTCTGTCTTCCCTTAAACTAAGAGATTAAAATCGCTTCATATTTATCTTTCTACCAACTACTTATTTCTTCCTGTACTATATCCTTATTGCAATCTTTCTTTTACATATTACCACCTCTGAATTAACTACTTTTATGAATCCAGTGCCCATCTTGTTGTGTTAATGAGGTATGGCAACTTGGACTGATGCATATATGTGCCTGGTCCTACGTTGTAGCTGACTGACTGACTGTTTATAATGAAAAAAGTGTGGAATATGATGTTATACAAGTGGTTAATCAAATCAAGGTTAATAGCCAAGATAAAGTTAGACGCATAAATCTTTTGATAACAATGATCTTATCAGATTGTAGTATTTTCATAGTTGAAGTCACGATTCTATCTAGCCTAGACCACAAAATTGAAAACTTGGAAGCACCGAACGGCTGTTTTGTCCTAATATGGGACTCCATAACTGTGCACATTTACAACCACTCAAGTGGGACTGGAACTCTGGACCTTCGGTTTGACAGAGGAGACTATTGAGCCGGCCGATATCCGACGTTGTTAATGTCTAACTTAAGTCGATCCATGACAATTTCTTGAAAGGAAAGTCATCGAAAATTTTGTAGTAAAATACATAGTTGTTTTCCTTCTAGTTTGGTAACATCTCAGTAGTGTTCACCTAATATATCCACATTGATTTAATCGACTTCACATAGTTTAACTGTTAACAGTTACTCGGGTATATTTTCAACTTCAGTGCATTTATGAGATAAATTAATATCTTTAGTTTAGAATAAAATCTTCTATAAAAATACATAATTACTTAAAAAGTGTAAAATACCGGAGGCAAACCATACCATATGTTTTCATCTAAATAATCATTGAAGGTCACTAATGAATCTTAGACTGTTCTTTCATTTGGGTTAGGAATACATTAACTTCCACTATCCACCAATATTAGGTGATTACCTTCCCTATGGTACTTATTCTACTCCTTCACCAACTCCACCGTCGAACACTCCTAATCACATGTCTGGAAGACATTCTAATAAATTAATTATAATCATCTTATCACACTGTCAGAACAAAAAACACAAGTGATACCCATAATTTTCAGTCACAATTAGTTTCTAATGGAACACAATCTTTATCCAATGATATAAATTGGTCATTATGTTTTTGTTTTCATTTACTTGTCACCAATGCTTTCCGACAAAAACCATTCCCCATATAACCACTCAGTTTGATGAAATTAATAAAATAAACATTTTTTACTGAAAAAATAATCAGACTACTTATAATAATTTATGAGTAGGCTATCCTTAACTAGACTTACTTTGATACTTCATGAATAATATTAAAATCTGAAAATTATCTTTATCACCTATTAAATAATACTATTTGGAAATTGGGAAGTTATTGGACAACTATTTCATTTTAGTTCAGAGGCTTTTCCGTGGTGTACAAACTTCCAAGCTATACATATAATCTATCATTTTCAACTTCAAATCAGATCAGTCATGTTGGAATTGTGATATATAGAGTTGAATAATTGTCATTTTATTTCATCAGGCACAAATTATGATGTTGTACTTACCGCAGTACAGAGATTAAGTAAGATCTGAGGTACCTTACAATAAAATAAAGTGACCATATTCAGTACTCATTTGGTTCTATTGGTCTTCCATTAAGGAGATTTATAAATTGAGAAGCCGTACTTTCCTTTGTGTTTTAGAAAATAACTTTATTGGTGATCATCATTATTAAACGTAAATTGTTTTCTAAAAATGTTTTCTTCTAAAACTAGCATCCTTATCCATCGGAAGAACAAAAAAAGCAATTAGCTACAGATACTGGTTTAACAATTCTACAAGTAAATAACTGGTAAGCAATCGTATATGTATATGTGTTTTGTGCTCATATGAATGTGTGTAGAAGCGATTGAATCCTTTTTTTTGTTAGTTTCCAACAAAGAAAGCGATATATCTAAGTTTATTGATCTCTGAGTTGTTGTAAAAATTTCAATTTGTGCTTGACACACTGAACGTGTTTATCTTATCGAACAAATAATCTCAATCAAATTGTGTTGAACTGGGACAGTGTTACTATTTAACTTATGTAGTCTTACTCTGAAGCTACACCATTAAATAACTATCTAGTCTGGCTCACTCCATCCTAGTAGCCAGGCTGTTTTGCTTTAATAACTTACTTCGGAAACAGTTGAATTTTTACCAAAAGTTTCTTATTTAAATGTAAATAGAATAAGGTGGAAACATGGACAAAATTAATAAAGATTATGCAAGTACTTCTTCCATTTCATCTATTGATTAATTAGTATTAATCATCCTTGAGTTTGATGAGTTACTATGAACAATTCAACGTCTAGTGACCATATTTTCCATGTCGAAATACGCCTAGCTGAACAGACTGATTCAACTAAAGTTCATCGTTATTTCATTGACCTTACACATGTCTGTTTGATTCATAATACTGCTGAAAGAACTCTATCTAATCACTAGTTTAAATGACTTGATATGCCATATCATTATTTATTAACGTTAGAATGATTAATTAGCGTTAATCTATAAGAATTCCTTCGTTAAGTTTTCATATTAGTTGACACTTATCAGCAAAGTGATTCGTATTTAATCTTTAATATGATTCAAGTTTGGATTTCATAGAAAGTATATTAATCATCTGCTCACTAGTGACTGACTTCAAGAGGCATTTCCTGGTATTCTAGTGAGAAGCCGTAACTAGTGGAGCTCAACCGGGTGACATAGTAACTCACTGATGACAATGGTGGGCAGTGGCTCAACTTCATGGATTAGTTGCAGTTAGACATTAACATCATTGGATGCCGACCGGCTCAGTGGTCTAATGGTTAAGCTTTCGCGCGTGAGACCAATAGGTCCTAGGTTCGGATCTCACGTGGCTGGAGTGTGGATATACATTGCTGAGGAATCCCACAATGGGACGAAACAGCCATCCAGTGCTTCCAGGTTTTCCATGGTAATCTAACTTCAATTAACTCATGATCTCAGCTATTAAAATGATTATTAGTTATATAACAGATTGTTTATTTAAAAGGGAATACAATAACAATATTGTATCTATCATTAGTATTAATCATTATGCTAATATTTCTCATTTCATATTTATTTACATTTGTCTAAGATTTTTTTCAGTATCTAATACAGATATTATTTTGTTTGTATATGTAAATAACCTAAATTCTAAAAAGGAATGATATTCAGCCTTTAGGCAATAGAATGACATATACATATATATAAGTAGTATTTCTAGGACTAACAATAATATAATAAATATGAATAACTGTTATTGCATAATAATAATAAAAAAGGAGATTAAAACCTTTTCCTTTTCCCAATTGATTTAATGTTTATTTACTCTGTTTAAATTTTCTTTCATCTATCCCCCCACCCACCCCTTTTGTTCACATCTTGAGGGCATAGCAACAATAAAAAGGTGGATAATATGGTCTCTTAAAATTTAAAATATTTCCTGACTTTGAAGATTAATTTTTGTTATTTAAAATAATTAAAGAAATGGAAAATGAGGCAATTTTTCAACAACAAAAAATAAGAACAAAGAATTAAGATAACAATAATGAAATGTTTGAAGAGAGACTGTGGAGAAAGAAGAGGGCGGAGAGTGAATAAAAGCCATATGAATTTATTTGTGATGAAAAAGATAAGGAGGCTGATAATTAGTAATTCTAGGAAAAAAAAGGTACAAATAGGGAAATAACTAATTCTAATTGATAGTTCATTTATATCACAGACTGACCTTAATTAGACAACCATTGGAAACCAAGATGTACTGGATATCTGTTTAGTTCCAGTGCACACTTAAAAACCCACTGGGGATTGAACTAAAGATATTTCATTTTCTATTGACTAATTTTGAAAGGCGATTCTCAAATCTCTAGCATGAAGCGGTGACGAAGGGGACACAACTATGACAAGTATGAAGCCAATTTCCACCAATCCCATTGGAAGATTGTTATATATTATCGATAATTATTCGAAGTCATAAATATAAGCCATCTGATACCAACCCAGTTGGCTCAGAGTTAAGGACTCTGCGAAAACCTTGAAAGATTTTATGTTTGATCTCTGGTTGATAAAAGATGTAATTTTAATGTCGATTTCCAGGTATAGGTGCTGCGCGACTTCTTACTCGAACTCTTCAATACTTCACGATATAGAAGTAGGTTGGAAAAAGCTACAAAATAGTAGGTTAATTGAAAATCGACCATTCAGTTTATTCTGATATGTATCTAATCACAGCATTGCATAGTCAAGACTATTAAATACTTATTTATAATTGATTTATTTTGTCGGTTGTACCATGATAACTATGAGTTGACAAAGTTATTGAAAATTTTTTATTTGGTTTCTACGTGTTTTTTTCTCTAAATAGGTTTATTAATGCTCGACGACGTATTGTTCAACCAATGATTGATCAATCAAATCGAGCCGGTAAGTACTGTACACTACTTGATTAGAATGTTTTATCAGTATAGGGTTGTGGAGATTTTTGAGTTTAGATTGACATTATGAATGGATTAATTTTAAACCACCATTAAAAACCATGAAGCACTGGTAGGCCGTTTTGTCCCAGTATAGGACTCCTCAGCAATGTACATCGACGGTCCCATACTGCTAAGGAGTCCCATACTTGGACGAAACGGCCATCCAATGCTTCCAGATGTTCAATGGTGGTCTAACTTAGATTGAATGGTGGATTCAGCTGCTAATTAAGTTTAATAAATATGCCAATGTGATGATTGTATATTGTCCTCTTACTATAAAGGAAATGATATTTGAAATAATTAGTTCTTTACTCTCCAAACTATTCATACTCTAATCGGTTTCATTGATTCTCAATTTATACTAACTCCCTGTTGATTGGCTGAAAAAGTGGCTATAAATTCATAATGTTACTTTGATATCACTTTTGATTAAGTTCTATATTATGGTTATATTTAATTATTCACAGAAACCGGATTGTTAGTAGAATAGTTCAAACAATTGCATAGAAGTCAAATGTCAAATAACTTACCGAGGAAAAAACGTTTATTTTCACCTACAATAAATATGTTTACCTGCATGAACATCAGACATACTGAACGTGAATATCGTGATAGTCTTCAGTTATTCAATTAATCTTTAAGTTTATTGAGCATTCAGTGAATTTGGGGATAGTTTTATAAAGACAGATTTAATTTATAGGCCACATTTATCATAGAGTAACATCAGTAAGGGGAGTAATATTGAAAATTAGGGAGACTTGGACAATGATTTCGACCTAATATGAATGTTCTTAGTACTATATATCATTGATACTAATAGCGATCAAATTCACACCCTATAAGTTACATGACCAGCAGGTTGAAAATCAGAAAAAATATAAAAGAAATTTTGAAATATAAAATTCCTCTAGTTAGTTTCTTATGTCTTGGTTACTTACTTACGCCTGTTACTCTTTATCGAGGAACATAGGCCACCAACTAGCATTCTCTATGCAACTATGTCCTGGGCAATCCTTTCCAGCTGCTATTCATCTTTTTGATATCTGCTTCCAATTCTTGACTCAGTGTTTTTTTGGCCTTCCTCTTTTCCGTTTCCCTTCAGGAATCCAAGTTAGCACTCGCCTCATTATGTAGTTTGATGATTTCGGTAATGTATGTCCTATTCACCTCTGTCGTCTTTTCCTAATTTCCTCTTTATCAAGAAGCTCGTTTGTTCTTTCCCATAGCAGGTTATTACTGATGGTATTCGACTAACGGACATTGAGTATATTGTGTACATAATTGTTTATAAATGCTTGTTTATGTACATACACATGTGCGTGCACAGAGGGAAAGAGACGAATAGAACCGTAGTCTTAAAATGAGCCACCAATTATTAAAAGTGCTATAAAACAGTTGCTAATGTCCAATTTAAAATATGGTTCACTGATTTCCTCCTTACACCTAGTTCTTTGTGTTATTGTAGATTGGAATAACATTAGCTTGACTGAGATTATTAAAAAAAATTATTTCTTATCTATTTTTAATTATGTAATTTGATCATCAGTTAAATTTTTTTAAAATTTTTTCGTTGCCTGGTCATTTGTTTGTATCCAATATGTGTCTAGCCACAATGTATTTTGTACATGTAAGGATTGTGCATGTTGCTATGTATTTATTGATACTGTGACACATTAGAGTGGATCTAAAGAAACGATGTTCCCCCTTTCACATAATATATATATATAGATTCCAATAAGACTACCTATTCATTATTACTTATTGTGCAATTATTATTATTATTATTATTATTATTATTATTATTATTGCCAATGTCCTCTAATTATACATACATTTATTAAATTTCACTAATTACAAATTAATAGGACCACATGGCTATCCACCCGATGCTGCAGGATGTTTACCTTATATGGATAATCAACATTTTGCTGCCTATGGTCGTCCAGGTGGGTAGTAACATATAAAATGGATTAAATTTAATATATATTTATTAGGATAGGAATTTTATGGAGATTATTTAATTTAAATTTATTTTTCATTCATGCTGTGGTAACATTTCATAAGCCAATGGAAATATTTATAACACTGGTAAACACTTGTATATTTAACTGTTATTCAGATGATGATGATGATGATGATCGCGTTATGTGATTAATAGTACTGGAAAAATGTGAATCACTGAAAACTTACTTACACAATAGCAGGCCTGAATGTTCTAGGTCCGACTCTGTGTAAGACGATAAAGAATCCACATATTTTTTACAGACTATATAACTAAAATCAAACATGTGTTCATTGCTAACCACCGTTTGGATTTTAGTAACTATGTAAGTTTATTGTGTAGTTTGTTGGTACTATTTGAAAAAGAGGATCTACCAGTTCTTCTACTGAATAGAGATTATTAATAAGAATTAAATTAAATCACTCATTATGTAATTGATTATGAACCATACACTAAGTGATAGGACTAGTAATACTGCCCAGTTGTCCAAACAGAAATAAATGGAGTGTAGTGGAATTAATGACTGAAAGTTAAACACCTTAACCAATAGGCCACCGCCCAGGGATTACTTAAATATCATCTATGTTCTACGCTAAAACCTACGAATGACGTAGTATATCAATCACTTGATTATCGAATAATTATTCTAATGTTCTTTGATGCACTCATTAAATCACTAATATTCTCGATTGTATTTCCAACTTGATCATACACCAATTCATTCGATTAATGAATATGATATTTTGGAGAAAAACTATTAAGCAAACTTATACAAGTTACTAGCTATTCAATGTTGAATTGATGCTATCGATATAAGCGATTTATTGAAATTATTCATCTCATATCTCCCATCAGAGCCAAGCTAGAATATCGTTATAAATCAAGAAATATATAAGAAGGGGTTTTGTGGAGATTGTAGTCATTTCAGCAGTTAAGATCATGAGTCAATTGAAGCTAGACCACCATGGAAAACCTAGAAGCACTGGACGGTCGTTTCGTCCTATTGTGGGACTCCTTAGTAGTGTGCACCCACGAACCCGCCTCACGGGCTTCGAACCCAGGACCTATCGGTTTCGCGCCAGGCGCTTAACCAACTAGACCACTAAGCCGGTCGGCATCCAACGGTGTTAATGTCTAACTTTAACTAATTGTTGTTCATTTTCACTTGTGCTCTTATACAAATCAAACTCAGAAACTTAAGAATTAACAGTGAATATTTTAATATACAGATGACTATAAACTGAATATCTGATGGTTGATATTTTTAACTTTTCTCATGGGATCGATTATATGATTGAAAGTCAATACTATTTTTTTATATGGAGGTTTCGTCCTACTTTACTTTTAATGGATTCATCAAATGTATATACCAACAAGGTGACATTTGACTGGACACAAAACCTGTATATATAGTATTACTGGTAGAAAGTCATAGCGACCATGCTATAGTAAAGGATGATATCTCGTAATGCCCCATGTATATTACTTTTTCATCAATATGAATCAACTTTTTCAAAAGACAAGTCACTTTTTATTTTTATTTGGAAATGATATATTTAGCTCGTACAAACCCATACACACACACACATACACTTCCTCTCACACACATACCGGCATATTAACCTATGTTGATATGATACAGATAAAATGAAATCTATATTGTCCTTCTTTCATTTTTCAATCTGTTTAAAAGCCATTGTGATACTACTACTATTACTATTTTGATAGTAGTAATGATTCTACATTTAATTGAAAAAAAAAATCCATTTTTATTTATTTATTTATTTATTAAAACTAATATAGACGGAATGAACATTAAAGCTTTAATGATTAAACTATCATCATTAAATGAAGATAGATGTATTGTATGTATCTCTCATTCATGTTAGGGGTGTCTATATACAATTGTATGCAAAATTATACCTCTATAAACATACCCATAGATATACAGATACACATACATAGAGATAATCACTGATCAAATAAATGAATTATGATTTATATGACTAATAATGTTTATTATTAATGCTTCTTATATCTCTTTGCTGTGAGTAACAGAAGACGAGTAATAATAATGGTAATAATCATCTGAATTGACTTTCATAGATGGGTTAATATCTCTTTTTTGTTGTTGTTGTTATTATTATTGTCTATTTATTTACTTCTATTTGTCTTCTTTCATTCATGACTCACTCTAATTTCTCTTTATTTTTGTCATTTGACAACATATAAATCATTATCGATAGTAAGGATAAGTAAAAGAGAGAGAGAGAGAGGGAGGGAGGTGAGAATTAATCAATAAGTAGTCATAGATTTTTCAGAGGAAGTATTTTTATTTTGAGTATGAAAATGGGAAGCAACAGAGATAGAGAGAGAGACGGAGTAAGTGAGTAATTGATCGACAAGTAATTTCATATATAACGTAGCTTTTGTGTTAGTAATTCAATATTGGTAAAGTATATCTTTAGGTTCAAAGTAATTTCATCACAACTCATGGTTAATTACAAATGCTTAAGATAGTTCAGAATTGGTCACAATGACATAGATACATCCATTCTTTGACTTCTTTACTGCTTTGGTATTTGTCTTGATAAATTCTTCTAAGTGTCCTCCTATTATGTGGTAAATTGAATCAATGCACATATGTGTCAAGTTCTTACATTGCAGATGACCAACTGACTAATTAACTTGTTACGTCAGTACTCAAGCATAGGTTATGTATTATTCCAGACTGATGATTAGTCTACAATAATAGGAGTATACATCAATCTATTAGTCATTAATAAAAGTTTATTTGAGATCTAGCGAAAAGTATTTATTTTCACTAGAAACCCACCTTTGTTATTAATCGCTCATACAGTACTATTTTCTTTGTTATTTCATCATAACTTTAATCTATTTTCTGTTTTTTTTTCTGGAAATAATTGTTTCTTTTAGGCTTTCACCCATCATCTCTTCGTCCTGAAGAGTTCTATGCGGCAGCTGCAGCCGCTGCAGTTGGAAATAACGCGTCAGCTGGTGATCTAGACGGTCATTTAAATTCTGGACGTCCCAATCTTCCTGGTGGGGGAGGATATATGTCAAATTATTTAGGCGGTGGTAGTCTACCAGACTCTGATTTCTCAAATCCAAATAACTATCAGCGTGGTGGTGGTGGGTTATTCCCTAATTCTGGAAATGGTGTTGGGGGTGGAGGTGCTTATCCACCAATATTAGGTGGTCATCTTCCCTATGGTCCTTATTCTACTCCTTCACCAACTCCACCGTCGAACACTCCTAATCATATGTCTGGAAGACATTCTAATCAATTCCCTGGACAGTTTGGTTTGTTTCAAAATTCCCATAATAGTAACAACATTTCGGACAATAACAATAATTATAATTATACAGCGAATGAGTCGAAAATGCGTACAGCTGCTGACGTGGATAGTATGCAAAAGGCAACTTTAGCTGTTGCTCAGTACGCGGCAGCACTCGCCTTACAGCAACAACAACAACAAAGTTTGAAACGTAATTATCCAGCAACTAATACAACTACTGCCGCTACTACTAACAATAATCATAATCCTAATTTAAGTAATAATTCTACATTGTCTCTATCCACTACAGGTTATAATTCACCTAATTATAGAGGAATGAGTAACGGTCATTCTATGTCATCTGGTCATCCGACACCATTATCTCCAACACACAATGATAATTCGATTTTTAATGGACCTAATAATGTGATGAATAACATTCCATCTGCACATTTACAACATTCAATAAATAATCCTACTGCTGGTTCACCGACATCATCATCATCCTCACCATCATCATTCCCAGTGTTGAATAGACATACAAATTTAAATTTATCAAATTATAATCATCATACAAATCATGTAACTGGTCATCATCATCACTCACATCATCATCATAGTAGTGGTGGGTTCTTACCTTCCGTTGGTGGACAAGACACAATACCCCAACCATCATTACAAGATATCCATGCAGGTTAACATTATATATATATATGCACTGCAAATTTGTACATTTACAAATCTATACAGAAAAGCAGATGGAAACAGATCTACTGATCAGGAAATAACTATTTGATTATGAACATATATGTATAAGAACTTTCTATAAATTTTACGCACCATCTATTAAACCCCGGTGGATTCATGTCCTCCCCCATCTTCCCTACAATAAAACACAGTGATAGACTTCTTTTTTTCTAACTAGTTAAAATATTCATCCATCTATCTATATATATATTTACAAATAGAATAACATTCTCTTCACTCTTGTGAAATACACAAATCAATGATCTTAATCATAATATCCAATGGACAAGACATATTCATGAATATAATTTGACTATATTTACTGTTGTACAAATATATTACTGAAGTCAATTACTCTCAGTTTACTTCATTTCTTTATGCTTCAAAAGGGTCAAGAAATGATATTTGTAAGAAGTTGGTGTGACATAAGTTTTCTAGTGTCCCACTCATCTCTCTTAATCTGTTTGTTTCTAGGCAGCTTATTTTCTATCTATTCTTGATTTACTTTCCTGTTTAATTTATTCTTCAATGATAAACACTATGACTTACTAAAAAAAATGGTATTGATGTTAATTTTTTGAAAGGATTGTTTGTCTAGGAATGGAACAAAATGGAAACTCATTTACATCGTGTATATTTCTCTATATAAGATAATATCCGATGAGTATTTTCATTGTCACCACCACCACAACAGTAATAACATCCGCCCACCCACCCCCATCACTATTCTTGACCTAGTCACTTATTGATTGATAATTTGAATTTTTCATTATACTACTAATCTATCTACCTACCTACCTACCTACCTAGCCACATAATTACTTACCATCTATCTGTTTGTCTAACCAACTCACTATCTTGTCATTAGCACAATCAATGTTGCGTAATTTCCTTCATTTTTTTGATTTGTTTGTATTTTTTTCTCTCTTGTTTTGTTGTTTATTCCTCTCAGTAATTCTATTTTTACAATAATGACCATAATACTAGTAGTAATAATAGTAACATTAATAGTAAAAGCACTAATAGTAATAACGATATCCATTCTATTACAACAATGTTAATAGTATTTGTAATATTCAAATTGTCATTAGTTATGTAATATATGAATGAGAGTGTTAACTTCAATGAATTAAACGAATAAATACGAATCTAACAAGCTAATCATCAGCTTCGTCGTTCAATATTGAATCATCCATTGATTGCCTCACCATCACCATCATCATCATCATCATCCCAACCGCTTTTGTTGACTTTTTCTTTAAAAAAAAAAACAGAACTCCTATATAAGTACAGCGTATGTATATGCCAAAATAATGCGAATCATTATCATCATTATTATTATGTTCATTTCTAATTATTTGTGAAATATTTACAATACACTAATAGGTATGAATCTTTCCCTATTCTCTTTCACTTTCTTTCGGTCTTCATTATTTATATTCATACACCTGTAAACTATTACTGTCCATATATGGAACAATAACTTTTCTGATGAAATACCAAATGATCTCTATTATACATAAGATATTCATAGTTGTTTTTTATTCAAATTTCCAGTAAGTTCAAATATGCTCCTTAGAGAACAATTGCGTATTTTGCACTATTAACAATATATTCAGTGGATATATATATATATATATATATATATATATATATATATATATATATATATATATATATATATATATATATATACATCAATACTTTGTTGTATCATTGTTGGTAAACTCTTCCTCACTACAATGATTGTTTGAAGATAATGTAATTACAAAATTATTATTATTATTATCACTGGGACTCCCATCTACTTCTCATCTAACACATCTTTAAATTTCCTCCCCCCCCTCCCTTTTAAATTTTCTGTACACAGAACCAGTGTACTCAAGTGCACAAAAAAACGATACTTTTTAATGTTACTACTTCTACTACTACTAGTAATGTGTTGTTACTGGTACTATTGTGAATAATAATTTGGATATAAGAAAAGGAATGTTTATTGGTTGAATTTTTATTCTTTGATTGAATAATCGAAGTTTACTGTTGCCATATATACATACATATATATTATTTTTATGTTTTTCTCTCTTAAATCACACAAAAAAAATTATGTAAAATTATCAGACATGTTACTATGATTACTATTACTATTATTACTGTTACTATGACTAACGATACACAGACATATGAGCACACACACACACACTACACACATACCTACATACATATATATATATGAACAACGAAAAATGTTTCTTTTGCATCCAAAAAAATAAACTTGTGTAATAGATAATAATTTTTGTTTGTATTTCAATGTTCTTTTGTTTTTAATGTCTTATAAAGATGAAAACTATTTCTCAAAACTGAAATTAAGTTTCTAATATATTGTGAAATGTAACAATAACAACTATTACTACTACTACTTTTAATTACGTTTCGTGGATTAGTTAAAGTTAGACATTACCACCGTTGGATGCCGGCTCAGTGGTCTAGTGGTTAAGTGCTCGCTCGCGAAACCAGTAGGTCCTGGGTTCGAATCTCGCAGGGGGTGAGGTCGTGGATGCGCGCTGCTGAGGAGTCCCACAATAGGACGAAACGACCGTCCAGTGCCTCGAGGTTTTCCATGGTGGTCTAACTTCAACTGACTCATGATCGTAACCGGTGAAGAATATAATGTATTAGGTAATACTGAAATTCAATGTTAAGGGGAGATATCTATGTCATTGTGACCGATTCTCAACTATATCATTAAATCGGTTAATCAATGATCACGGTTACCTTGTAGTACTAAATCAGGTTATCAGTGTCTAGCAACACAGTTCATTTTATATGATGGACTTCGGCTACATGTTGATACGATTGCATTGAATTTTCTTAAAAAAAAACTAATCCTATTCCAACGAAAATTGTATGTTGAAGTAGATGGTGATCGTAGTTAGATAACTCATCTTGAAAACGTCTTATTTGATAAAGATTCACTATTCCGTTAACTGGTTTGTCTACTTTGTCTAGTATTTTACTATTATTCATACCGTGTGGTGAGGAATACTTTTCAAACACCCGTAATAGAAGAATTTATAACGTATGGATGTTGTTGTCTATTTTTAATAAACCGTGTTTCACTTCGATTAAGTAATATAGAGTGGGCTTTTATGCAATATACTCACCCTTTGGTTTGTAGATGAAAGTCTCGACTACTCCACAAGTGTTAAGGGTTACTAATAACCAAACAAGATTTTAAAATCTGTATCAGGTTATCGTTAGATACCAACCCACTGATGCTGAAGAGACTCTTAAGAAAAACTAAGTGGTCAACGACCTCAACTATTTGACATTTTATCATTAATGTATGCATTGATTTAGACTGATCATGGAAGAACGTTTTGCACTTTGAGAGAAGTAGGAGAGACTCTTTCTAAAATCCTTGGAATTTTGATAAATGTAATGATAAGATTTTGAATTTGTCAGCATCTTCATTACCCAGAACTTTATTAGATGGGTATTCCAATTCGATAAATGAATCTCTTGATAAAAGGTTAATAATGTTTGAACACTCAAGCACCAGTAAGGGCATCCATAAAATAATTTCTGTGATAAAATTAACTGAAAACTGAGAGCGTAATATTTCCTGGTAAAAGTCACTGTAAATAGCTCGTTCTAATGAGATTTCACCATTAGGCTTAACACGACCATTAGTGTTCACATAAATAGCTTTCAATAGGTTAGCATAGATTCCGTAAAAACCTTTCAGTAATGGATACAAGAATAAATAGGTCATTAATATTTTATGATAAGTAAAATTCGATATAATTTTCGTATAAATCCTCAAAATCACTACCTCTGTAATTCTTCGATATTTGATGTTGACCATATTAGTTTTAATGGACTCACCCAGCTGAAGGCAAATCCGCATCAGATTACAAGTGGGAAGGTCGTGCTCAAATTCTCCTGCAACCACTAGCCAATTTAGATCAGTCACTTCTTAATATGTTGATAAACTATCAAATATATCTTCAAACCTCCTCACTTCTGACTTTTGATTTCACTAGGTGGGTACGATTCAGATTAGGTGTTACTGGTTAAAGTGTTGTCAAACTACAAATACCTGTGATCACAATTGATTGATAACTGGGTGGTGATCACTGTCATGCTTGTCTAGTCCTTATTAGTGCAGATCGAATGCTATCGATCATGTTGCAATGTGGCCACCAGTCTAGGTGACTCGACACTGCGGGCACTATGTATTGAGATTTAGATGGTGGTTGGAGGTAGTCAACAGGAAACCCTGTGACTTCCTCACATTTGTCATGGGCTACTGATAGGATCTCAAATTATGATATCATACAGTGGACCATATATTGATCTCAATGTTTTCTAGTGTTTTTCATTATCTATCCAGTTTAAACCTTATAACGTTGAAACAAGGAATCAGTTTATTCAGAACTTCAATAGTTGAGATCATGAGTCAATGTGAAGCTAGATCATCATGAAAAACCTGGAAGCACTGGACGATCGTTTCATCCTATTGTGAGACTCCTCAGCAGTGTGCATCCATGACCCCATCTCGCAGGATTCGAACCCAATGACTAAAAATCTCCACAAAACACCTTCTTATACAGAACTATTCATTGAAATCTTAACAAATATTCATATAAAGTATTTCAATTGTTTATCAGTTAAATGAATTCAAGTATCACAGTTCAATAGCGTCATAATAAAAAATCAACTTATAAATGATGATTACCTTCATGAGTGCTTTCATCTGTATAATTTCTAGATTGACTTATATACGTATATATTTTTCGTTATCACCTGTTTTAGAACATATTTTGATTATTGATATTTATATGATAGCCAAATGTAAGTGATAAACTTTACACACTTCACCACTACTACTACTACTACTACTACCCATCTTGCCCTTACACGTACACAAATAAGTAGACAATTCAATCATTATTAAAACTAGACTCATATCCATTAAGTGTTTTGACCTGACAAAAATGTAACAGTCAGTAAGTCTTAACCTTTATTGAAACAAGAAACAAAAGTTGAATACATTATATATATATATATATATATTATTGTATTCATATAGTCTATCTCTAATGTTTACTTCATCTTTGCTATTTCAGTTTACTACTACTAATACCCTCTCTCTCTCTCCCTCTCCACCCCCCGTCACTCTCCCTCTCTCTCCTGGATTTAAAAGCTAATTTGAATTAATGTTTAAAAGTCATTTCCCATTATTCCATTTTTAGACAACACTGGCATTTATGAACAAGTATGTACATTAATGTTATATACGTAGGATATAGACGGGAAAAAAGAAGTATATTAAAAAATGATATATTCCATTTCATTTTCCCTTTATTATTTCTAATCATTGTATTCCCGTTTCCAACACACAAACATACATACATACACATACACACACACACACATAGTACCCTCACTTTGTCGCTTTTCTATTTTTATTCTAAAATATGTTTTACAAATTTCATTTAGAAAAATTCTATCCTCGTCATCATAATGTGTGCGTGTGTGCGTGTGCGTGTGTGTGTTTATGCGTCTATATGTGCGCACGTTCAGATATTCTTCTCTATGGGAATTATAATTAGTAATCATAAAATTGAACTAGAGAAACCCATTAATATCATCTATACAACTGATAGATATAAATATGCTTTCTGAGTGAGTGTTCTTTTTTTTTAATATATACATGTGAATAAAATTCACTGTAATGGATATAAACATGAGTGAACAATCATCTGAATGTAGGGGGGGGGTTAGTGGGTGCGTGATTGGGATGGAGGAGAGTAAACGAGTAAAAAGTGGGAAAGTGAGAGAGAGAGAGAGGAGGGATGGTAAGGGGGAAAATATGTATGAACACCTGGATATAAATAAATAAAAATCAACAATACGAATATGGTATATCAATCTAAGTCTATATATATTCGTAATTATTATTCTATTATTTTCTAGTTGTTTAATTTACAAAATTGAATTTTTATTTTATTCTTTAATGTACTACTTTTATTCATCATTGTACAGTACAAAAATAGGGATATATACCACTTGTCGTATTCATACATACATACATATATACACACACACACAGAGCTTTTCATTTATTTACGTGAAATATAAAGTTTCTATTATATTAAATTGATGAAGAAACTAATGAATAACTCTCTCTACATATTTACGTGATCTAGTGGATAGTTTTCATTCATGTATCTTTTTGCATGAATCTGACTTAGAAAAAGATCGAGTAATGTTTCCGTCATTTCATCTAATTACTTTTGTTTGTCAATCTATTAGATGAGAGTATAATTTTCGTCACTTTGATCCAAGGACGTTTAGTTACAATGTTGTACTCATGCATTACTAGTCTAAAAGTTGAACTAGATAACCTATCGTGTTAATGCCTTAAACTAGATTATGACAAATTCTCTCTTGTATGTCTGTGAGGAGATGGATCAAGGAAGTAACAAATAATTGGCAAATTATTTATACAATTACTTCCGTTGATAAATTTGTTTAGAACAATAACAACATATGTTACTTACTTATGCCTGTTACTCCTCGTGAAGGAGCATAGGCCGCTTACTAGCACTCTCCATCCAAACCTGTTCTGGGAAGTCCTTTCCAGTTGTTATTCATCATTTTTATATCTGATTCTAATGTGTTATTTGGTCTTTCTCTTTTCCATTTCCATTCAGGATTTCGAGTTAGGGCTTGTCTCATGATGCAGTTTGGTGATTTCCATAATGTATGTCCTATCCATCGTCCTTTCCATCGCGTTTTCTTAATTTCCTCTTCATCTGGAATCTGGTTTGTTGCCTCCCACAGAAGGTTGTTACTGATGGTATCCGGCCAATGGATGAGTCAGGCACTAAAAGAAACGATTTCTTTCTTCAGTTCCTCACTGCATAACTCATAAATCTGTACTTTAAGTTTTTCAACTATTCTGTGATAGGGTAAGAGACTAGTCCGATCTCGATCAGTTAGAGCGGAGTAGGTTTGAGCCTAATCTTAACTTAATCGATCACGTTAGTTCATGTGTTTAAGGTATGAGTTGAATTTGACCGGAACATTCTCAGGAATCTACAAGGTATTTCAATATAATATAACAATCTTCCAATACCATCAGTGATATCTCATTTGGCTCATGAATTCAATCCAAAGTGAAATTCATAAATGAACAAATATTTCTGAAGAGTTCTACGTTAAAACGAAATAACCATTCATTCTTTTCCAGTTTTGACTGTTTCTTCAAATAGTATCGATCTGTAATTTGAAATTTAGTTTCAGATTTTGAGTCGGTCTCTATTTATGAACTATACTCACTACAAAGAACTATCAGTCAAAAACAATGAAAATGTGATAATTGTATAAATTTTCACAATTGAATTCACGACTCCATCTAAGATAGACCACCATTGAAAACCTGGAATCACTGGACGGCCGTTTTGTCCTAGTATGGGGCTCCTCAGCAGTGCACGTCTATTCAGGACCTTCGGTCTCGTGCCCGAAAGCTTAACCTCTAGACTTCTGAGGAGTCTCACATTAGGACGAGACGGTCGTCCAGTGCTTCCAGGTTTTCAGTGGCGGTCTAGCTTAGATTGACTAATGAATTCAACTGTGAAAATACTACAATCTCTAAAAAATCTCCATATCGATAATTTATAAATGTTTGGGAACATTCTGTAAAATTACAAATGTAAACCATTGGTTGCTTACTCAGCCACCTGAAGATTAGACGCTTATCACGAGGTCTGGATGTCCTTCATTTGTTCCACGGTGGTGTCGTGGACAAGTATTAGTGAGGACTACTCCCACGGTAGGAAGAAATAGATGCTAATTACTTATTGGTCTTCGGTGGTTGTCTAACTTATGTTGGTTCATAATTTTAAACTGAACGTTCTCTAAAATCATCAATCATCTCACTGATTACCTTATATTAGAGGATTTTATTGCATGAATTCGGTTTAGATAACCAGTTTTTTTAGTGAATAAAGTGTTAGACTTATGGATGATAAGTCTAAACTTGATCAATAAAATTCGATCAGTACTGAAGGATCAGACGAATACGTGATTAATCGTTTGAAAATATATTTCAGTTCAACATCTGAATAACTCTATGGTAACGTCTTGGGCTGTGGAACTGAGCGACTCGGATTCCAAACCCGTAATCAACATCAGTCCTCTCAAGATTATACGTACACATTGCTAATGAATGCCAAATAACACAATACCTAGTTCAAATAGAATCTCTTGCCAGCTACCTAATAGATTCAAACTGTACCTTACCAACTTCAGTTTATACAACGAGCTAGTAATTCACCATTCCTTACCAAGATAATTAAAAACCCAGTACGGTTTAGGGTCGAGTAAAAAATATCGCACTCGGTTAGATAAGTTACTGAAGTTTTATATAATATATAGAAGCACTGGACGGCCATTTCGTCGTATTGTGGGGCTCCTCAGTAGTGCGTATCCACAATCCCACCTCACGAGATTCAAACCCAAGACCTATTAGTCTCGCGCTCAAATGCTCAACCTCTAGACCACTGAGCTGGCCGGTATTCAACGGTGTAAACGTTTGGCTTCAAGTAATCCTTGAAATTGAGCAACACATCCACCACTGTCATCAGTGAGTTATTATCTCACAACAGACTCGGTTGAACTCCACCGGTCACTGCTTCTCACTAGCATTCCAGGAATACTGGTTCAGCCATGATTCACTGGTTACCTCTAGAGATTAATAGTTCTCATATTCTACATATTCATATATATTTCGAAATATCTTTGTTACACAATTCATATCAATTTATAAATAAGGAACTACATAATAAATTGAAATTCGAATGAATAAATATACAGTAATAAATAACTCCCCCCTCCCCCCCAATTCTTTTTATGAGGAAAAGGTAAATGATTTTCATAGTAAATATGCTTTTACATATTTCATTCTTTATCTCTCATTGTATGCAGTCTACTTTCCGTCATTAATCTATTTAACTATCCATCTATCCATCCATCCATCTATTTATTCATCTAATCATATTCATGATAAAAGTATCATTATTTATTTTTCCCTTCATTATAAGTAAACTTTGT